GCTGAATAGGTGGTTACTGGATGAGCAGTGATTCTATCAGTAGTTTATAATATGATTAAATACTAGTACAAAATTGAATGCTTATATACAATGGAGTTTCACCCGTGATACGAAAAACGAATGTTTTGCAATTCACTCCGCAGAGTGGATGAAAAATTGTGTTATCGGTTGTCGCGGAAAACATACACGTCGTACAATTTTCATAGAGTATTACGCCACTGCACGGTGTATAGCCACACATAATCTACTTTTTGGAGCGGAGATCCTCTAGCAGGCAAACAGTAGTATGGCTGTGAGCTCAGCAGCTTTAAGTGAATGGCTAAGACCTGGTTGATGTACGGAAATGAATTCACATGCATAGATTTCATCAATTTTTGTATCCTTTTTATGTACACTTATCAATAGATGAGATAATTCTCCTGCTCAGACTTCCACTGGCAAGTCGACTTCATGTGAAGCAGTGGAGCCACACATGATGTGGGTGAATGGCAGGTGAGTACTAAGGTTACCATTGTTGTTGAGGTTGCCCCTAGGTATGTGTTCTCGAGTCAGTGTGGAGGAAAGAGTACGAAGATTGGGTGTAGTGCGAAGAAAACGGCTGAGGACTTCGCGCTGGGATGGGGTGACACGGAGATTTCTGATGTGAGTGTCACCCCTGTTGGGAGTGTATTCATTCACATTTTCATTGGGGTTTCACCTGTTTTACGTAAAATGGCGTGATACGTATTGAGAAACCCGATATTCGCGGTGATATGCAGCAGTTTATGAAATATGTTTTTCATATCACGGTCGTGAAACTCCATTGAAGAAATTCCGAAATCTTTTATTAAATTCGTTTTTTTCATTACACGTGTTGCAGATATCCATTTCGGCTGATATTATCAAGAAATGCTCGGTGGTGAGCGTCGGGGAATCGACAAGTAAATTGCTGGGCGCTGCTTATGATCCTGCTACGAGGCAAAGGACTATCATGGTGGGTCGATATAGGGGGAGTAGTGTATTTACATAGTCTCAGAATATGTTCACTTTCCTCAGCTGGGTTGAAAAATTTTCGCACTAATCTTAGGAGTTTAATACGAATTGCGAGTGTATTTTTCATATTGTGACCAACACATGTGGTTGACCACGTGTGGATTTCATCACACTGAGGCGCTCAGATATCCTCATCGAAGACTCCCATAGTATGTTCTGAGGTAGCCGAAGCCCCTATAGATATGGATTTGCTGGGAGAGTATCATATTATCACTAAGTGTGGTGAAAGGGACGCAGTTGTTAAGTGCACTGAACCGGGGGCTGCTGTGAAGTTGGCTCGGTTATGGGGGTCTTATTCGAATTCTGAGGTGAGACTTTACTATAGGATGGTAAGGAGGAGGCGATCAGATTCAAATTGACAAGTCACTTCTGGTCAAATGCACTGTTCCGTCGGGTACGAAGGCTCTGGTGTATGAAGTGGCTGAGGATGGGCAGTGGAAGGGGACGACTAGAGCTTGGGTGAGTAGCGAGATCGCTGAGTGAGAGATAACACCCCCCCTAGGGGGGAATGTTCACATTGTGATCATGACATTGACAAGGAAAACTGATTGAAGAATGTGTTCCTAGCCATACGTTAAAAATTCAAAATTTATATGTTCCTGGATGATTCGGCCAGAGTGTGGGAAAGTATGCATATGGTCAACTACATGTGTCGGTGACAGTATGAAAATTTTTGGGAAATCTTGAGAGGTTGTTGTTGATTTCTACACGGATTTGTATATAAACGTCCATAGTTAGTGAGGAAATACTCCTGAGCTCAGCTGAGGAAGGCGAGCATTTTCCTTTCCAATACTGATTGCCGGGTTAGGTCACTGAACAAAAAGGGCTTACTTGCGCTACCCCAGTGCCTGACTTGAAATTCATTGGTGATGAAATTTTGGTGAGGACGACGTGTGGAGCGGAGGTTTTGGAGATGAGCTGTGGAGGGCTGGAGGGCATAAAGGAAACTATGAGGATTGTCACTAGATGGGGCGAAAACCCGAATCCTAAGGTAGGGGGAGTGGTGGTGAAATTATGGAGGAATTCCAGATGGTGTGGTATGTAGATAATAATCAGTAAAAAGGTGATGGGAGCAGTGCAGGGGCTGCTGACTAACGCCGGTGATGAGGATATAGTGGAGT